CCTATACAATTTTTTTTCTTTTTGATTTTTTACCTGGATTACAGAGATGCATCAGGACAAAAAAAATGTACAAATGAATTGAATAAACAGGAAAAAAAATGGCGTGACTGCTGAGTCAGCATTTAACCTATCACAAAGCATATGCAACAGGACAAAAGTTGGAAATGGAAACGCACCTATTTTGACGTGCTGGTGTCCCTTGTAGAYGAGCCACTCATAAACCTCGTCACTGAAGCACAGCGTGTCGTGTTTGATGCACAGGTCTGCRATCATCTGCAGCTCGTCTCTGGTGAAAACCTGCAGGAAGAATCGGAGAAGGAGCYCATCTGTCTGTCACAGCAGGTTTCTAAAAAAGCAGCRTCCCCTTTTCCCCCAGCCTGCTGGATGTGATGCTGCTGTGTTTCACCAAGGMGAGAGACCACTGAATGATGACTCAGGTGTTTACCCACCTTCCCAATGGGATTGTTGGGAGTGTTGATGATGATGGCCTTAGTCTTGGAGTTGAATTTTCCAGAAAGTTCTYCTGGGTCAAGATACCAGYCAGCACTTGTGACTGTCTTCTTTCCAGGCTTCTGCAACCGAGAAACAATTTTGCATCACAGCTTTGAAGGAAATTTTGTAAATAATGAACTGAATGTTAGGCCCAGTATTGTATTTTCACACATTCTGATCATTGCAGTATTGAATTTAAAACAGAGAAGAGAGTTGGTGTGTGTGTTATTGATGTGTTCTGTCTGCATGAACAAAAGTTAGTTACATTTTACGTCTGATGGAAAAGTTATCCCCTCCAGGGGTGTAACCAGGAAGAGACGTACATTTTAAGGTCAATTCATCGTAATATATAGTAGAAAGAAGTGTTTTTAGAAGTTTTGAGTTGTGCAGAGAGTTAGATTCAGCCTGGAACAGACTGGGATCTCAACATTGATGTGTTTATCAGTGGGCCCATACCTACAACCTGAGGGGTGATGAGCATTTTAGTAGACTGTTTGCCTTTTGTAACATGTTGGAAAAGTGCTGTGCTGACCACTCTGTGAGATTTGTCAACAACTTTGACCTTTGTTGGGAGAGAAGACGTCTGTTCAAGTCTGATGGACTGACTTTGAATTGATTTGGAGCTGAGCAGCTAGCTTCAAACATGAAGTACCACCTGAACCAAGCTCTGGCTGGAAACAGACAGCAGGAGAGTAAACAGCTGGTGTCTGATGTCTACAGCTTTTAACATCCACTAAAATCCTGAGAACGTACTGTATGAAATAGGGGTGACGGTTTCTTTAATTTTGGGAGATCGGCCGATACTTGGATAAGATCGGTGGAAAAGATCAGCTTTTCTTCTACCTCCACAAAGGTCTGAAAATCAGTCACTGTTCCTTTTTGCTCTGCAGTAAGCCTAACATCCAGTTAAAACAAGTTTGCAATAAAATAAGATTGGAATATTTAAGGTGTGTTGTGACCTTATAACACCTGACAATGTCAGCTATTTATTGGCCACAATCGAAATCTGCAGGTCAGACGTTTTAAAGATCACAATTGGCTAAAAAACTGCAATGTGTGCACCCCTAGTGTGAAAGCATGCAGGTATCAGATCCTTAAGAATTAAAAAAATACAATAATCAAACTCTGAGTTTGGCCTCAGAAACAGTTAAAAAGGGATTTGGATAACAACATCTTTAATGCTTTAAATATGGAATCTAACTACTCTCCAAAGCAACTGCATTTCCGTGTTGCACATATCAATATTTTCTGTTTAAAACAGTTGTACCTATCTGCATAAACTGTAGAGTAAACTCCAAAGAAACATACAGGCCGTAATGGAATCAGAACCGGCGTGGCCCCGGCCATCCGCACCATGTGTACATAGCAGTCAAAAAAAGGTTCAATTATGATGACCTGATGGAAAAGAACACTGCACTATGAGTACCACAATATAAATATGAATCCTTGTAAACGGTGAAAAAAGAACTGAAATGACCTCACCTCATCTCCTTCTTCCACCAGGCCCTGCATGATGCTGAATAGGGAACCATAACCTCCCACTGTGACCAGAATCTCTTTGAAGGGGTCAATCTGACGTTGGTAGACCTTCCCATATACCTGAGAAAGGGCCTTCACCAGAGACGGATGACCCTGCTCAACCAACAGAGTGGTGCACTTATTAGTGAACTTCTTTTATTTTACCAACAGTCTGCTACACCCAATTTTCTTCAAACGTACTTTTTAAAATCTTTTTTTATGACCAATACTTCCAAAGTAACTGTTGTTTTTGTTTCTAACTTGAACAAATGATAATAAACTGTCATCTGCAACATGAAGAGTTTCAGTTGGTAAATGACAAGTTGAACATGTTTGTACATCACATTATAAGTTTAACCAGCCAAATACACTACTGTGCAAAAGTTATGATCCACTTTTTTAACACTAGAACTACCCGAGAGGGGCCAAGTGAGAATCTTCCTCTAAGTACCAGAGAGGGGCCAAGTGA